CAATGAAGTGACGCTGGTGGGACGTGAATAATCAGAAAAAATAAGACGTACAGCACAGTTCTGCAGGGCTTCGATATTTTGAATAATGTAGTCTTGATCGGGATCCGGAATGGCCAATGCATTTTCTATTTTAGGACGGATTAGGGTGATGGAAGCCAGTTTACGCAAGTGCGAGGGGATGTGTTGCAAGTTAAGCTATTATCATCATCAGCCACTGCAGGGCAATTTGCCTTCTTGTTCTGAGCTGGCTAGCTCTAGCCTAATTCCCTATGCGCCATAAAAAACAACCTGTCTCATAGCTTCAACTCACCATAACATTTATTAGCAAAGTCATGGCCAAATGTTGCACCATGGCGGCATCATTACCTGTTAGGCCTTTCCCATGATCCACCAATTATCCGCCAATCAACTATTGAGATTCTGTCTCGTGCTTTCTGCTGCCACGTTATACCTGCCAATTTTTTAATCTTATCGTCCCATCCAACTTTCTGTCTCCCCCTCTTGCGTTGGCTTCTCTGGGAATCCAGTCAGTTAACCACCGATTTTCCTGCCGACAAGCTCGGCCCATGTCTATTTCTTTTTTTTGATCTCTACTATGATATCCTTTACCTCGCTTTGTTCCCTGACCCACTCTGCTCTCTTCTTGTCTCTTAAGGTTACACCTACCATTTTCCTTTCCATCACTCGCTCGCTGCATCGTCCTCAATTTAAGCTAAACTCTCTTTGTAAGCCTCCAGGTTGTTGCTCCGTAGGTAAGTACTGGCAAGATGCAGTTGTTATAGTATACCTATTTCGGAGGGTTAGTGGTAAATTACCATTTGTGATTTATAGGCTTGTGTGCACAGTGAAATTTAGTTTTGAAACGAATTTGAAGCGAATAGTGATTTTGGCCGAATAATTTCGGATCTAATACAAATACTATATATGACATATAAAGAAAAATAGGTATATTTATAATGACCTAACTAACCTACAAAATATTTTTTTTAAAAATTGAACTAAGACCTCTATGCAAATGTTTTTTTTTTCATTAAAAGGAAGTCGAAACAACTTCGAGTAGTAGGAGAATAAGTGATAACCTGTAAAACACGTAACATTTTAAAATTTATTATTCATATATTATAAGCCGGTATAACAATCTTTAAGGCTTGAAAAAAATGATAAATTGATCTGAGGGCAATATGTTCATTTACAGGGGCCTTGCAGCTCTTAGTTTCAAGTAGCAACGTAATTGATTCACTAAAGAAGCTTGTTGGCTCACGAAATCACCGCTGCAAAAATTTTTAGAATACATCTAGTATGAGCAGAGTTGCAATGATTTGTCACACACTTCAATTGCATTTTCTATTGTCTTGTCCCACCGAAAATGCTGGAAGCAAAGCACGAAGAAATGGCATTGTGAAAGAAAAACGTTCGTGTGCCTCAGTCACGCGTGCCTCGTCACCTTTAGCACTTTTTCTCTCATTTTTTTGTTTTCTTCGAACACGCAGATTTTCATTGCGATCGCGCACACATGCGTGGACAAGTCACGGCCTCCCCTGGCGACCTCAGTAACGACCGAGCGTGTCATGCTCAAGTCAGCCAATGGCTGATACAGTGGCTGTGACGAGTGATTTTTGAGCTTCATTGGTCAATTGTTGAAAGAAGAGAAAGCAATTTTTAGCTGACTTTGAGAATTGATTCTCAATTCCAGGCCGTGTGCTGCGCTATAATATTTGGCTCACGTGTTTTCGGTAGCCTCGACTGCCGACTGGCAGCGTTTTCTGACCAGGTTCAATAAGTGTTGCAGGGCCTCTTTAAATTTATAGTGGGGCTTCATGGCAGAGCGGAATTCTCTTGGCTAGGTGCTTTCAGGGCTTAGCATTCATACACTGAAGGGAAACAACCTTTACAGGCAATTACATGCGGACTAATGCACACCTTTTGTGTTCATTGCGAATACTTCGAAACTTTCTATATTTTAAATTCAAATTGAAGCGAATTTGAATACTGTACTATTCATTCAAATATTCGCACAAGTCTAGCACTGATTTGAGAATGGTTGCTGATTGTCATCCGCCCCATCCTTATTCTTCTAGTTACTTCACCCTCATGGTTCGGCTCCGAGGGTGCTACCTGTCCTTAGTAGATAGTTCACTTTCATCTCTCCACCTACCGTGAAGCGCTGTCTTCTGCCGAGACTGCTGCACATTACTTTTAGCTTTGTGCATAATAATTTTAAAACCTACCTTTCTGTCCTCCTTGTCTAATTCAGTAATCGTGAATTGGAATTCGTCTCGTGAGTTACTCAGCAATGCGATGTCATCGGCGAACCACAGGTTACTAAAATACTCTTCATTAGCTCTTATTCTTAACTTTTCCAAATCTAGGCCGCTGAAAACCTTCTGCAAACATGCAGTAAATAGCATTAGAGAGATTGTGTCTCTCTGCCGTACACCCTTCTTTATTGTGATTCTGTCACTTTCTTTTTGAGAACTGTGGTGGCTGTGGATTTATTGTAAATTTCTTCCAGTGTGTTTATGTAGGTTTCTTCGATGCTTTGATTCTGTAGTGCTTGCATTACTGCTGATGTCTCGACTGAGTCAAATCCTTCTTGTAGTCTATGAAGGCTATGTAAAAAAGTTGGTTGTAATCCACACATTTCTCTATCACCTGATCGATAGGATAAATATGGTCTATTGTCTGTGTGAAATCCTTTGGTTGATTGAACTCTAATGTTGTTGTTATTCTCCACAGCTGGTACCACTTGACGTAGCGGCAAATATTATTCGGCATAATGCTTTGCCTTTGTGTTACCGGATGGACTAAAACTGCTTGTGTACTCGTGTGACAGAGCCCTAAGCGCAGGTGTTTCTTCTTTCATCGCCGGTCGTTGGCATGTCAACTGGCAACACGCTTTGTCGATCGCAACAGGCTTACGCAAGCTGCCTGGAAAAACAGCTATGGCTCCTAGCCTGGCAAGATGGCAGAATTATGTGCAACTTTGCTTCTGATATACAGTGACTTTAACCACCACCAGGCCAGCACAAGGCAAGTTGTACAGGTGCACAGTGATAAGAGACTGCCTTTGACATCAATGGGAGAGTGAAATGCGAAAGGGAACATTTTTTTTTGTCGTCTGCTGGTGTTTTCAAGTTTAAAGGCTAAGAACTTCTGTTACCTGTGCCAAGTTCGATAATTATTTTTTAATTCATCACAGTATTCGGCATTATATGAGCTCTAGTGCTGCAGAAAGCAGATGAAGAAGTGTTGCAGGGCCCCTTTAGCATACGTTCAGCCCACTTTAGAATGCGGAAGCACAATTTGGCACCAGTAAAGGTTAATTCAGAGAGTGGGAAGAGTTCAACGTTGAGCAGCATGATTTTTTCTATCTTGATACTCTTGTACAGATTCTAGCTGTCAGTTTCCTGAACTTGCCATCTTTGCTGTATGCAGGTGCATTGCAAGGTTAAAGTATTTACCTAAAAAGAAAAAGGAAATTTACAATAATAGTAATCATTACTTTGCAGCAGTATGTGCAATATTTCTTTTCACTTTAGTTGTATTCAGTTCTTCGCCACAAAGACTGTCAGCAATGCCCAGTGCAAACCACGCTTCATTGGTAAAGGAACTTCTCGATTATTGCAGATTATTCTGTCAAGATGTGAACACCTGAGCTTATTGCAGAGCTTGCACGTCAATCAGCGATAAGGCTGGAATATTCTGTGACACACGTAAAAATGGACACGCTTCACAACTTCTATGTTTATCAATGGCTGATGCTCTGTTTGCCATTGTCAATGCCAGTGTGTATTGTTGTAATCTTATTTTTCATTTAACAGCCACAAGTTTAGGCAAATGAGCAGTTTAGCTCAAAGAAGTCGACTTCTCCCTTTGGCTACGTAACGACCATGTGACAATAGCACAAAAAGCTAAAATATTGCGAAGAGGCAAAGAGGGTACTTTTGAAGTGCGTCAGACCAAAAATTACGCACTTTCTTTTTTTCATTGCAAAACAAAATGAATAGCTGTTAGCAATAAGAGAAAGCACCAATGCAGGTGAATTTAAACATAATTTGGCAGACAATGAGGACAAATGCATGTGTGCATGTTTTCAATTTTCTGGGTCTCTGACATCTCTGTTATGTTTTGTAACACTGCGGGTTGACTTTTAATTTTGCAGTTACGCACTTATGGTGTTGTACATTTCATTGATCTACAGATGAACTATTTTGCTTATGTACGCCTATGTTGTTTTGTTTGTAATGATTACGGATGCAGCCTTTTTTCTTTTCAAGTCTTTTTTTTTTCATGTAATGTATGATTGGCAGAAGTACTGCTTTTCATGCACTTTGTAACTGCCGACAGGCCGATATGTGAGTAAATAAATTTAAAAAAAAGGGAAGGCGCTAGCGTAGAGCCCACTAAAGGAGGCATTGGGAATTCCTAGAGTGGTGGGCGTTTTGAGTTGTGCTAACAGTATCTGGACCACTAAGACATGATTTAATTTCAAATTAAGCATTTTTCGGCACAAAACAAGCACTGTGAGGTTTCTGGAAGGTTATTTCAAAAGTAGACACCAAGTTGAATTTTGCCTTTAGTGTCCCTTTAAGAGTTTGTTGCATTCATGCCGTAATCACTTTTGGGACCATACATTTTGCTTAGGGGATCAGTCCAATAGGAATTTTATACTGTCTACACTCTGCTTATTCTGTTTTTCTGAACTTTTTTGTGCTATTGTACTCGTGAAAAACTGGCCCATTTGTTAGTTCGATTGATAAAAAATGGCCAAGGCATCTCAGTCAAATCTACAACTTTGTAGCAATGCGATAGAAGCAGTTACTTTCTTATGTCTAAACTGGATGTAAGCTCAGTGCCTTGCTGAGGTTTTATGCGAGAAAACTATTTATTGTTTGTATTTAACTGATGGTACTAGTGCCAACTGGTCCTCATAATTTACAGAAAGTAAAAATATCTTGGTCCATTAAGCCATCAGAGTGATTGGTACTCATCTCATACAGACCAAGAGATCCTGCTGCAACTCGAGAAGGAGCGATTGCTGTTCTTCACGCCATCGCGCAATGTGGGTGGCAAGCGTATGGTGTGCTATGAGGACCGCTACATTCTCAAGATGGCTGCACAGACTGGTGGCGTAGTCGTGTCAAACGACAACTATCGGGACCTGGTGGCCGAAAGCCTAGACTTCAAACGTGTTGTTGAAGAGCGCCTGCTTATGTACACATTTGTCAACGACAGGTATGTAAGCATTGGATCTGTCTTTTTCTGCAGAATTCTTTGCAATTACTTGTAGAGGGAAAAAGATATGTGCGTGTATGGTTGTTGTGTATATTTTAGGAATGGAAAGTGAAGCTTAGACTGGTGTTGAGGCTTGGGGCTGAGTTTCGTGGTTGTCGAGACGCCAAAAGACCCAAAAGACACCATAGAATGGGTCATCGTGCAGATAAATATACACTCAAACATCGATATAATGAACTCGAATTTGACGAAATACCGGTTATAACAAAGTAGATGGAAAATAGTCTTGCAATAGATATTGCGTTAGGAATAAACTTTTCAATGTGTGAAGAGGTTTATTAGCCGTTAAAAACAGTGACGAGACAGCGTGAAGAACCGTCCAGCGACCGGCACAGCAACGAACCGAAGCACAAGTTGAGAGAGCCGGGCGTTGGCGATGCTGCTTGCTGCAGGCACATCTTCTTCTTCACAATCGCCCCCGCTGAAAAAGGAGCCATCCTGGCGACCTAAGAAGTTTCAGGGAGAGGCTCATGATACGGTTTTAGGCGGGAAATATGGACGATGTCACGTGCACGCCGGCGCATGTCATCCGATCGGGAAACTGGCTCAATTAGGTAATTCACCGGAGAGGTTTTCTCTAAAACGGTGTAAGGCCCCTCGTACCGGGGGACAAGTTTCGATGAGAGTCCCGGAGTTTGGTATGGGATGGCAAGCCACACGAAAGACCCTGGGGCATAGCTAAGATCCGGAAGAGAGGTGCAACGGTTTTCTTTCTGGCGTTGCTGCTCGTCCAAGGTGAACGCACGGGCAAGCTGGCGGCACTCTTCGGCTTGTCGAGCAGCATCGGAGATAGGTGGACATTCGGAAGCATCAGGATGGCAGGGAAGTAGAGTGTCAATGGTAAGGGAAGGGTCGCGTCCATAAAGAAGAAAGAAAGGTGAAAATCCCGTGGTTCTTTGTATTGCAGTATTATATGCGAATGTGACGTATGGGAGAACACGGTCCCAGTTGCTTTGGTTAGATGCCACGTACATTGAGAGCATATCACCCAGCGTGCGGTTAAACCGTTCCGTTAGCCCATTAGTCTGTGGGTGGTATGCTGTCGTTTTCTGATGAATGACGTGGCATTCTGAAAGCAGAGCTTCGACGACCTTGGAGAGGAAAGTGTGGCCTCTGTCACTAAGGGGCTCTCGAGGTGCGCCATGTCCAAGGATAAAGCGACGTAAAATTAAAGAGGCCACATCCTCAGCGGTAGCGCTCGGTAAAGCGACTGTTTCGGCGTAGCGTGTTAGATGGTCGACCGCCACTATAATCCACCGATAGCCATCTGGTGTCAATGGAAGGGGGCCGTAGAGGTCAACGCCAACGTGATCAAATGGCTTGGCAGGGCACGGAAGTAGCTGAAATTTGCCAGTCGCACGTAGCGGTGTTGATTTGCGTCGCTGGCAGTCAGGACAGCACTGCACAAAGTTGCGTACAAAATTGTACATGCCGCGCCAGTAATAGTGATGGCGAAAGTGTTCATATGTTTTGAACACCCCGGCGTGGCCACATGGTGAATCGTCGTGAAGAGAGGCGCATACTTGTGATCGTAAAGTGTGTAGAATGACCAGTAGCCACCGGCGGCCATCAGGAGCGTAGTTACGTCGATGAAGAAGTTGATCGCGGATGGCAAAATGGAAAGCTTGACGTTGGAGGGATCGAGATACCGGAAGGTTAGACGTACCGAACGCAACGAACCTATTTTTGTGTAAGATGCAAGTTTGTTATAATGAGATTTGAGTGTAGGTGCTTAAAATTTACCTTTTTTATTTTTGTAATAAGCACATTTATGAGCTACATTGGCATGACTGGTCTAAAGGATTGCAGTTTTGAGGCACCCCATGTGGTCACCACATGTCTTGAAATGTATAACTATGAAACAAAAACATTATTCCAGAATCTGTGTGCAGATTTTGCTCGTTTTGAAGGTCGGTATTGAAGTGTCCTGACCCCGAATTCTCTTAAAAAATGAGCCGCACATGAGGTAAGGGAAGGTTTCCTCTTCAGTGGTAGGGTTTGCCGACAATGTGTATCAACTAGCCCCCTTGCCCTCTGACATTCTTTCTTGGCAGAAGTAAATTCTGCAAGTGCGGCCTGCTGCCTGAAATGAGTTCGAGACTCCTGACATAGTGTCATACAGTTAGCAGCACATTAATAATTTGGATTTTGGGGGACAGGAAAAAATGTCTGAATCAAGCAAGGGTCAAATTACCGAAAATATAAAACAACAAAAACAATTCACACATACATGCCTGTTATATAAATGTATGTTCATTTCCTTGAGGCATACATAAATCTTGTGCTTATTTTGCATAAAAGCAGTGTAAATGCCATAATTTTAGTTGTTCTGCGGCTTCATTTAAATTGTGACAAAACCCACTGTACTTTGTCTTACTGAGGTGGAACGTGCTTTGCGCTTCTCTTTTATTATGTACTGCCACCAACAGCATCACAATAGTTATATCGCAGGTCAAATGGCCCACAAGTGATAGTTCATTCATGACAGTGAAGCGAAATAGTTTTGATAATGATGATGACTTCATATGATTTTATGCCAGCATACCGACTGCGGCTGAGAGCGCTTCATCTTTTGCTACTTCTGCCATGTTTTAATTGATGCCACTGCGTGTGCGTTGAATCAAGTTAAAAAGAGGCTGCCTGTGGACAGAACTGATGAAGAAGATGGCTGTGCAGACACAGCCATCTGTTTTAATTATCTGCCAATGCTCTTTTGCATCGAATATTTGCCGTGGTTCATGCTGGGCCGAATGAAGCGGGTTGTAGCCAAATGTGACTGACCTTACGAGTGTTAAGTATCATTAAACAATGTACATACTAACCGGGAGCAGGAAACACGTCCAAATTAACAAGCTTTTACTGTATTGGCAGTCTCTTTTTCTAGTTGAGCGTGGTTTACACCTTCTCTCCTGGTTTTAGAAAAACCCTTTTGCCCATGCCTTTGTGAAGACATGCTTGCCTGAGCCATTGAGACCTGAGAATACTTAAGGACATATTTTCTGAAGGGTTCTGTTTGCACTTATCTTGAAAAGAATCACACATGCTCGGCTGTGCCGAATGGGAGATGGGGACATAGAACAAGTAGGTGTGCCCATTGCACTGGGAATGTGACAGTTGCAGTTACACTACAGTTGAATATCATTAATTGGAACATGTTTAATATGAACTTCCGGTTAATTGAAACTCACGAAGAGCTCCCGTCAAAACTATGTGTATTCCAGTAGGCGAAAACGTCCGGTAATTCGAAAGCACAAGCACTTGCGACGGTTAATTCGAACATACCGCGCTCCGAAAATGCTCTCAGCACTCCGCCCAATCCCACAATGGCACTCAAGACACCTCAACGCTGCACACCATTTCCTTCCTCCATGCTGCGTGAGAAGGAAAGGAAAAGGAAAGAAAAGGCTGCAGTGGAATGTTTGCTCTCTCTCAAATGCTGATCTGCGACGAGCCTGTGTCACTATTCTCTCTTTTCCGTCCCCGCTACGTAAAGACCCTTCTCCTTCCAACGCCACGCGTGAAGAGAGAGAGGAAAAAAAAGAATGCTGTTGCGGGGTTGAATGAATATGTGGTTGAAGGAAAGGAAAAAGGCAACATCTTCAGTAGCCCTTGCCCCTGCGGGAGCATGGCTCTGCTCAATGAGGGGAAGGTGTCTCTCGTGCGCCAGTGTCACGCTTCACTCTTTCCCGTCCCTGCGACGTAACCCTTCCCCTTTCAAGGACAAGCCGGAAGAGAGCAAAAAAAAAAAAAAAGGGGCTGCCGTAGAGTGTTGGTTTTCTTTCAAATGCCAATCTGCTTCTCTTTGCTTGGAGACGCTCCTCCTTTCTTGCATGTGCTGGCCATGCTGCGGCTCCGCTACGCAGTCATTGTTGTCATCGTCGTTTCTGTGCTCCCAACTGGGCTGCAGAAATTAGGTGCCTTCTTCCTTTCCTAACCACTACCATCACCACCGTCTTCAGAGAGTATCGGCCCTGGACATCGCCGCGCGCAACTTCTCTTGCCAGAAGAATGCTGAAGCCGAAGTAAATATGCTTTGCAAGCTGCGTGCGGAATTTATTGACTCGCTGCAAGGCAAACGTGTGCAGACGCGCATCACCGATTACTTCAATTAATGACGGATGTCCTGTGATTTGTGAATAAATGTAAGTCTTCTGAAGCTTCCCCCTCGTGTGTTAGCTCAATGCACATGCGCCACTGCAGGGGAAGCCCTCCGTTTATTAGCTTTCATTAATTCCAACTTCTTTTAATTCGAACAAATTTTCGGTCCCCTTCAAGTTTGAATTATCGAGATTCGACTGTACTAGTATAAACGGGACTGCACGAGTGGCTACAATACACATGTTCTTTCTAACCGAGGCACAATAGCCAAATTGACCCCACTGTTTCTGAACATAGTACCCAGGCCACAGTACTATTTTTGCAAGAGAAGATGAAGCTACTAGAAATTGATAACCCATTCCTGGTGAAGTACAAATCATTTAGGCTTCTAAAAAGGAAGCCAAGGACGATCGAAGGCACAATGCGTGTATGCATCGATACTTCCAAAGCTATGTTTCAGTGGAACTCCTATGCCCCAGTTTACATTCTGATATTGTATGCCTCCCAGAGTTCACGAGAGGATTTGTTGTAGTTTCTAAAAAAAGAAGGGTGTTAGCGAAATGTCCATCAGCCTTTATAAGAGCTAAAGTGGTATTTTTGATGGAACATGTCCTTAGTTTGATAAACGGTGTGGTCTTGAAATGCACCCGGTTGTAACCACTGCAATGAACCAGTTGAGCCTCTTCTGTCTTCTCTCGTAAGTTATGCTCTCATCAAGTCACCCAGATCTTATTAACTGCTTGCATGTTTGCAGCAGCCTTGACTGCCAATGGGAAAAATTTCCTGACCATGTTCCGAAGTGTTGTAAGGCCCTGTTAAGAAAAGTAATTCGACTCATACTGACTTCTTGAATAAATAAACCACTTGAAAGGAAAAAGATACCATTTTTAACGCTTTTTTTTTTGTTCGTTCTTGTTCATTATTCGGTCATGCTGTCAGCACACCAACTTGCCCAGTTCAGATGCGGCCACACTTTGTCGCCGGTTTGTCCACAAGAACCAAGGTGCAAGGCCTGCACCACCACTGGTGGCTTCATGGCTGCTAGTTCTTACAGCACATCAATAGTATGTGGTCTGCACTTGACTGTCTCTGTTGCATTCACCACGCTATATTAACAATGGTGTTGCAGGAAACGAGTTGGTCTTGAGTTCTTGTTTGTCAATTTGTTGTTTTTTTTTCTACATCCGTTTGCATTCTACAATTGCTAGTGTACCAGCTGGCCCAAATGCCACCCTTGTGGCATCACTTCTGGCATGTGTAGTATGCAAGAGTGCGGTTGATACACAAGAGCTCTCTGAGGGAGTCACATCTGTGGAGTGCACAATGAGTAGTTTTGTGCACAAAAACTCGAAGTAGCCCTAAGCGTGCCCTAAAGATAGATTTTTTTTATTAAATGTTTCATGCAGAATTTCAATGGTTTTGTTCAGGTAATATAGTGGTTGTAAGTGTGACGGGCATTATTATGCTGATATCACAATATAACTTGTCGTCAACCCACAGCTGCATAATTTCTTCAGAAGAATGGTTGGCTAAGTGAGTTTTCTCTCTGCACCGTGCAAGCAGGTTCATGCCCCCTGACGACCCCCTGGGGCGTCATGGGCCCTCCCTGGATGCCTTCCTGCGCAAGAGTGGCACCCTGGCTTCTGAGGGACCACCAAGCTGTCCGTACGGCAAGAAGTGCACGTACGGCAACAAGTGCAAGTACTACCACCCGGAGCGGGGGAACCTGCCCCAGAAGTCGGTCACCGAGCGGCTGGCAGAGCAGGCCCGCCTGCAGCTGCAGGAAGTCAAGGCTCGTAGTGTCATCAAGAGCCGTGACTCATCCCCCGGTGGTGAGCTGTGATTCCTCTCAACTCGGCTGTTCAAAGTAAGACAAAGCAAGTAGTGGGTGACACCAAGACAATATGCGCCAAGAAGTCCTGGTTCATTTAAAAAAAAAAAAAAAGTCTCCTTCTCAGACAGCCAAAATACTTGCCTGGAGTCCATCACAGACAACACGTCCAGCAAGCCGTTTCCCAACCCAAAGAGTTTGTGTGTGCATTACGCAGCCGTCATAAGTCTTACTGTGTTCTGCTGTGTTCAACTATCCCACATTTTCCAGTTTTTTTTTTTCCTCTCTCCCTGTCATGCTTCTAGTGGTCCAGGAGTTGTTGGGAATTCAAAGTCGGGCTCACATTTGTTGCTACTATAGCATTGGAAAGAAGTCACCAGTAGGAGAGAGCTGTGCGGTGCCGCTGCCTTTTCCCCACTCTTTTTTGCCTTTCCCGAAGTACAAGTGGTTGTCTAAAACCAAGGTCATCATCACTACGATAGTTATAGCGCGAGAACAAAACGACGACACAAAACGACGAACAAAACGACGACTCTGTGTCGTCGTTTTGTTCTCGCGCTATAACTATCGTAATGCCATACCAACTAGCCCAAGCTGCCACACTTCTAAGTCATCATCACATGTGCAGACGTTTATGGACTGAATGTACTGGATCTTAGAACACCGTGACAGTCGATCCGCTCCGAAATGGGGTTGCAGGTATAATAATAAAGACCTGAGCATGCGTAAATTTTGCAGCATGTCAGCGTCGTGTGTTTTTTTTTTTTTTTTCACACGATGCCGCCCTCTTTTGTTATCGAGAGAGAAGGCGTGCAACTACGCATGGCCACGTGCCGTCTCTCTCTGTAAGGAGAGAGCACGACGACGCATAAAAAAAACCACATGCTGCGGCGTGTGCGTGTGGTCAGGCCTTAACTCCTTGCTACCTTTGAGGGCTACCAACTAAAGGGAAAATTTGCGTTTCTATTCCCTTTTCAGTGCTTGTGTTGTGCCCTAGTGTTTGTGTCCATCCTTTCATTCGGTGTGCCGTAATGATCAGCCAACTAGCCCTCGAGTAAACTTCTGTACAAGTATGACGATTTTATGTTTAGTTCCTTTTCTATGCATTTTTTGTGTGGTGCCTTTTAGAATTAACTATAATAACTATGTCTTATGCAAAAATGATCTTAAAGATTGTTTTTATTAAGAAACTGAAGAGGTTTACAGCTAGACTGGCCTCCTTGTGCCTGATGCTGGAACCATCAAAACTGGCAGAGACCACTCATTGTGCTCACAAACAGACAAAAAAAACTGAAGCATGAACGAACTCAGTAGGACAGCGCACGAAACATGGCGAAGGACAAAGGCATTTGTGTGGAGAGCGAATACTACTTTTGAAAAGACACATGCACGGCATTAATTGAGATGCTCATGCTCTCTGTGTGATATGCTTCTGTGTGACAGTTCCTGCTGCATGTGACAAGTTCCTGGAGCCCCCCTTGGCTAGGCAATGCTAAACCAGAGTTTCCAGCTGCTGTTGAGCCATTCCAACACGTTTATTTGTAGTGGTCTGAACCCTTTACCCACTGTTTGTCCAATGTGGTCTAAAGCTAAGGAAATCAAGCAGGTTACTTGCTCACTTCGAGATGTCACCTTGTCATGATTGCAGCCATGTTGCATTGTTGGGAGGCACCTGATTGATACATTTCATGAGAACATTTCTTAATTGTTTTAAATGGTTGCTTAATGGAAGGTGAAATATTACCCTAAATATTTTGTAGTGACAACACAAAATATTTGCAACTATCAACGAAAGCACATGGTATTTGCTTTTTAAAATTGTCGGCAGCATGGTTAGTATCCACTCTGTTCAGTGCATATTTGCTAGTGTATCGATAATGTTGCATGTTGACATCTGTAACATGTTTGATTTCAGCGCTCTATCATATGAACTCATGGACAAACACACTGGTATATAGTCAACGGGGCAAACCAGGGGTGATACAGCTTTTTGATCCATTTTCGTTTTCTAGTGCCAAGGCTCCAAAAGCATAAAAATCACGAAAATTGCGCCCAACTGCTTCAAAACAACCTCGAAAGCTGGAATATTGATCCCAACCTCATCTTCAGTGGGAAAAAAAAGGCCGAGTTGACTAATAAGATGCGCCCAATCAGGTTTTTTTTTTTTTTACTTTGCACTTTTATGGTGACAAAGTCTCTCATGACGCCTCCATAATCTCCTCTAAGCTGTTGTGAATATATGTGACCCCACAAAAATGTGCTGCCGTGCATCGAGCGTGCTGCTTTTACTAGCTAGGCTCTGTGTTCTGCTGCCACTGCTGCCTTGCGAAAACCATAATCGAGTGGCAAGCATAGTGACGTTGACTCTCAGGTTCTTTGTTGTGCGTAGCGCTTTCCTCCGGTTGCTGCACTTTTCATGTCGACCCTGCTGTGTGCAACCACATACGCGTGCGCGTTTGCCGTGAGCGAGGAACTGTAAACCTGGGTCATTTCCCTGCATGTGACGCGTCTCCTAGATGCTCTGGCGCGCTCACGTGGATTCTCAAAAAGGGCTCCATGAGCGACAGAATGCATGCAGCCCATTCCCAGTTTACGCCCATTAGCTTCTAACTTATTCATTCAAGGGAAATCTCACTGCATTTTGCATTCAAAAAAGCCATTGCACGCAAAATCCGCGCATGGGTGTCTGGAGATAGAGAGAAACACTTGGTTATTTGCGAAGGCATGGTGGCAGAATGTGTGTTGAAACCATTTTAAACAACATGAATGGACACCTCGGCGCTTTTTTCGCGACTCATGACGCGTCAACGATCACGTGGCACAGTTTTCATGAATGATGAATTGCCACGGCTCAGTTTTGTAATCTGAACTCAGAATGTGCACTTTGAAGGGCCCCTGAACTCCCTCCGATATTTTCCTAAACACTTCAAGTAAACAAGCGATTGTGTGCAGAATGCCGTCGCGATCAACGATGCCACACGCCGCAGCGCTACAGGTAGCGGGTGCGCCACAATTTCGAAAAACAATAGCTTCTGCTTTCCGGTCCCTGCCACTCCCGCCACTGACATGTGTAACATCACCAGTGAACCTCGATGGCGTCACCACTTTCGATGCTTGGGATTGGCCGAACGACATCCGACGACTTTCGGTCACTCTGCAAACAGCTGTTCGCGTGCACCTTGCTATTCTTGGCCGTGTTGCCACTTGCGAATCACCATCTTCAGCCCGCAACGCAACCGTGAAGTCGCTAGCATAGGGGCACGGGCCCGCACGACAGCAACTGTGGTTAGTCAACTAGTGTACTCAAATGACACACACAACACAGTTGACGGCGAGCTGGGGCGTCAAAGTGGCGGATCGCGGCAACTGGAAGTAGACGCTGTCTCGAACAGCGCGCCAGCCGTGACGAATGCCACGCGAGATGAGGAGGGGCACTCAGCTGACTCAGCGAGGAGGGGCCAAGCGGTTTTAGAAGAGGGTAGTGTAAGAAAGAGGGGAAGAAGCCACGTTTCGATCATCTAATGCGTGTAACTCCGCTATTACGACACCGTTTCGAATAATTATCACGGCTACATGTTCGTTGTAAACTCGAGCACAGCTTTCTCACCTCAACTAAATTTTGACTGCTGGGTGCTTTAGGGGCCCTTTAAGAGGCGTCACTGCATGCATGCCAGCTCTGGGCTATGCTTTTAGGCTTAGCTCGATTGGTGTTTCGGTCAGCGGCAGTGTGACTTCATTTTCTGTTTTTTCTTCTTATGCAATAAAAACAGTCTCTGTACATTTGGCGGTTTGTTTATGCGGACACGAATTTCTTATCTATGCTGCGCGAGCGCTTTACGCGAGTTGCAGGGTAGCAATCGCAAGTCGATGTATTATCGGGACTTCTACAATGATGATGATGACCTACGACAAAAAAAAAAAAAAGAACTGGTCAATGTGTGCCAAATCAATAACGCGTGGATGCTCGCATGGAGAGGCGTTATCAGTTACGAGATAGTCCGTGTGGCAAGGTTTCTTGTTTCCCGCGCTGCAATCTTGAAGGTGGTGTCGCCTAAGGTGGCTGTGAATGGTGGTGCAGCGCAATTTTGTTGTCCGTTAAAAGCTGTTGTGATGCTATCATGTTATGTTATGTTAACCACTGTTATGTAACTAAGATTCTTGTGCAATCACAGCTTTTTAATTTCTTTTTGAGTGTGATGCGTTCTTCTTTTCAAATGTTTCCGGGGAACCTAGTTTTCAACAAAACCTTCTTTTATTAAATATTATTTTACATGTTTGTTACGAGGGCCAGATAGGTCATGTGGTATGTAAAAAGGTAGTGCAGTTCATGCCCGGCGATTATCTGGTTAAAAACTTCCTTTAACATCTGTTTCAGTGTCATGTGTATTATAAACCAATTAAGATATACACTGATGCTCCCAGGTTTGATGAAAGTTTGTATTTTCAAGCTCCCAGGATGACACATTAAATGCCGCTAACTGCTCCCAAGCAAGATTCTTCTGCTCTAAAATTGAAATATTGCTGTTCTGAAAACTGCTCCGAATTTAGCCTCAGCTGTCTCACCCCTGGCAAACACTAAATAACAATGTGCAGAAAAAAAGTGTCAGCCCAACAAATGCAGCAAGCAACTGGAAAATCCAACATTTAAACCTGTGAAAAAAAAAAAGCCAAAGCAATCGATTATTAGGCTTGTGTGAATATTTGAACAAATACACAGTATTCAAATTCAATTCAAATTGAATTTAAATTATTTAAAGTTTTTGATTATTCAAAACAAACAAATAAATGTGTATCGACCCCCTAAGCAACACTTTGTAAAGATGGTTTCATTGTAGTGAAGCGGTGCTAAGCCGTGAGAGCATCTATTAATTTGTATGTTAGCACGTCAAAGCAGTTTCACTGCAGTGAAGTAGTGACAAGCTGTGAATACATGCACCCAAGAAAAATGCGCATTGCCGCAAAGTCCCACTTCAATTGTAAATGATGATGATTAGTTTTTATGTTTAAACCTTGTTATACCGACCTCACGATCACTTGCATTTACCGAGAGTCAAATCCTGCTACTATTTTTCACTTTATTTGATGCAAAAGAAATAGCATTTGCACAGGCCATGTTTAAGTTTTGTTTAAGTTTAGTTAGGTCATGACAAATATGTCTATTTTTTGATAATATTTAACATATACAAATTCGTTCCTCACACAAGCCTACTAATTAGAACTGGAAATGGCAACTGTGCAATAAACTCTAATAGTGGTTACTTGACGATTACTTGAGAAGTGCTGCAGGGTCGTTTTAAAACTATTTAACAAAGCATCACAAGTTATAAAAGCAGCTCAGTTCTAGCACTTTTTCTTGATGTGGGGTCGCCCACTTGGTTGCCAAAATATTAATTATGCACTAACACAGCTCTTGAATACGGCCTACATCTTTGTTGAAATTCTTACACGAACCTGTAAAACAAACATTACTGATGAATTCCTTTTTTGAGTTCTGTTGCCATCGGTTATATTATTACTGCCTGACCTTAGGCGGCCTCTGTCCTCTAATGTACTAGAGAGCTGGGCCAGTTGCTAACTCATGCAAGTTAACTTATTTTAGAAAAAACTTTATATACCATATTCACTCGCATAATTTGTGCACTTTTTTTTCACATTTCGGAGCTCTGAAAAGTGGGTGCACAAACTACACTATCGCATCTGAAATAGTCCAAATGCACGCAGTATATACATTTAAAAAAGGATAATAGATTGGAGCGCTAACAAAGTGTACCATCAGTGGCAAAAGATTATGGTATCGGAAATGTGTTGTGGAGCGACGAAAAACTGCATTGCTCCGTCACCCACGGTGATGCAGGGGGTGTTGATACTGTTGGCTGTGGCCTCAGCAATTTGTAACTGCATGTTTTGACAGTGCGCTGCTGCGAAATCTAATCACAGAGGTCGTGGCTGATAACACCAAGGTTCCTTACCATAGGGGACATGGAAATGCAATTTTAGTCCGCTGCACCATGCTCTACAGATGCTGAAAACTTTCGCCGCTGTCAACGCTCTCCCAAAGTGCATCGTCCTTGGCTCCATCAAGTGTGTTTGAGCCCCATTTTCGCAGAGCGTACAAGACTGGTGACCTTGATTCGGAACTTTATAGCATCGCTTACTGGCGCTGCAACACTTGACAATTCTCCGTTAATAAGGGGCTATAATAATGGCCTCACGGCCCCCTCCAAAATGCTGCTCGACTGATCGCAGGTGAGCTGCTCAAGACAAAAAGCTTGCCGCCTGGAGCGAGTGAAGCGATGCTGCCTAAGAAGAAAATGCCCCTCTCGAGGACCAAGTCGTCGGTACCATCCCTGTTGGGTGCTGACCTGTTGGAGGCTGACGGTGGAGGCCACTTGTCTGTGGCGAAGCGACTCTCCGATCCAGATTCGGGACTCGGAGCATTCTCACTGCCCAAAGGGTGAGCGACTACAACAAGAGTCACTTGTTGGCCGCTGTTGAGTTTTAGACCAGATTTCCAAACAGCACATTATAGGAGGCAGCCAAAACAAGATTTTAGGCATCCTTCATAATGAATATAGGCACACTTAAACATTCACATAAATGCATTTAACATGGGTGGGACAGGCTAGATGGGTTTGAGAGCAGTCCTAGGAGCAGGCTTGACGCAGCCAGAAAGGCCGTTTCAAGCAAGCAGTCAGGGAAAACGTTCAAAGCAAATGTAGCAGAGCACTTGTTAAGCAAAGGTCAGCATTGTTCAAACACTAAGCCAATTTTGCTAGCAATTATTGTGATAGCAATCACATGAACACTTTCGGAGGGTTTTTGCCATCACCATTACGTCCTATATCAAGTTAAATTTGATAACCTACCTCCGCACATTGTTTGTTCTACCCCTGGTAAAAGCACGTTGGCAGGGGTGACAAATGTGGCTGAAGCAGAAATCAATTGAGCCGGCCCATCTCCATTGCTTGGAGGAAGAATGCAACAATATCACCCTGCTCGGGGGGCTTGCCATCGAAGCTGAGAGGCAGCACCCCGCGCATTTTGAACATACTTTATGAAAAGAAGAGAGAGGGAGAAGGCAGGTTGCTTGACCAGCCACTGAAGGCTTGTTCACATCGATGGAGTAGAAAATCAAGCTTTTTGGGGCGCTGAGTGCGTACACCTCTTCAGACCGTATGCCTCCTCTGTCTGGCTGCCAGGCAGAGAAGGTGGCCATTTTGGGCACGTATCGCTATCACGTGACAATGCTTCTCCCAAAGGCACACCTAGACATCCCCTGCATGGCATTGTGATTGGCTGCGACAAAGCGGCGAGCTTTGACAGGCGCGAGAAAATTGGTCCGAGAGTGATCAGACAGACTTGCCGCCTGCTCTAGTTTCCTGGAGATAAAGTTTTCCCCGCTACCGCTTTGACACTTTGGCCGCCTCGCCTACAGTGTGAACGAGCCTTGACAGCTTCCCTTCTAAGGTAGAGCTGTGCGCTGCCGCCACCCATTCTTGCTCATGTTGTTCGCACTGCCGCCGAAGTCCTGAGAAAGACTGTGGCACGGTGCTGGGCAATAATTTCCGAACGCCGCTGCTGGTTTTAAACGGGGAAAGCGCATCCCTTCATCTTCTTCTCCGGAGCTTTAAAATTATTCAGAGTGGCATTTTCGGTGTCCTGAATACTCTATTGTGCCCATGCTTACATGCCTTGTCTATGTAAGGCCCTAAAACAGCTTCTGATGATACACAATTGAGTACATCATTCTCTCTTGGCGTTTTTCTTTCATTTTTGCGCTCTTCATGAAACCAGAACAGTGATTCTCGTGACATCAGGGCACATACTCTCGAATGGTTCATATATGAGAAATGGAAGTTGTGAATTGTCTGCAACACTGCTTTGCCATTCATTCTCCTCTCGCTCCTCCTCATCTTGTATGATTATTGCACGCAATGGATTTGTGGTTTCGCTGCATTTTGTGAGTTCCCATTTGCCCAAGTGTAAATAACAAGAGTGTAGCCGACAAGCTCGAAATCCTGATAAGCCCAATGCTTAGCGGGCAGATTGCACACGTGCTTTATGAAAACAGAAGTGTCGAAGAGATATAGCCTGTAAGAATTGTAGTGAAGGGGCTGTAGTGCAGTGTAGTGGAGAATGCAACCAAAAGAAGAGGTGCTGGATTATTTCATTCTCCCAACGGACAAATTCTTAACATTGAAGATGACGCAATTCTCCAGAAAAAATGCTAGCCCAGCGGTTTTTGAAATTTCTGGGTTAGCAAGAAATATATGGAGTCTCCATATAGGCTTTCATCATTGTCATCATGTTCTTTATAATTTCCAAATTGATTATCATTGTATGTTGCTCCTGCGAGTAAGACTTCGTGAGGGCTAATGAGGAACACTTCTGAAGCATAGATGAAACAAGCTGCCCATCTACATCGCACGGAAAGTCCTGGCGATAGCATCACTCCGCGTGGGGTGCCTGCCATTTATTGTTCCTCAACTGGGAACGAAGCCCTGTTCATCTTTTGCTGGACGCAGGAGTGTAAAGAGACATTGAGGCTGCATGGGTCGATCCGCAACTGTGAACATTGAATATAAGGGCATGGTCACAAGCACTGGCATGCGTTCTATTTCAGCAGCCGTCAAGAAACAGCTCGTGTACCCTGCTACGTGCTTTGATATCACTGCACGAACAGTGCTGTTTTCGGGAATGGCCGTATTCTCATGCACCAGTGTTTTGCAGTTTCGCAAGATTGGATGAAAAATAGATAGCTGTAGTTTTAGTTCGCTATGGGGCTACATGCTCCTATCTCACAGTGTGTGAAGTCATCCAAGGGTTTTCTGACCATAAAGCTGTTGAAGTCAGTCGCCTAGAACTTGGTGTATTTTCTGTAAAGACCCGAATTCAAATCCCTTGAACTTTTTAAATGTTAATCACACTTTGGAATTGGACACTTCAACCTAATCTTTTGAGAAATTTCAATGTTGTAGCGAATTTTGCAGTGTATATGCATTGCTTCTTACATTTTTGTGACATTGTGCATGAATGCTTATCAATGTATGTGCCCTCAAAAAATGTATTAATTGGTGCATTGGAGAAATATTTAAGCTCACTCATCGCATAAAATGCTTACATAATGTCATGCTCGTTCGTGTTCGTTAGGCCTTACTCCCCGAATCACTCGCCACTCACGTCCAACCACAACACCGTCCGCGCACACACTGCCCGCACACAGGCCGGATGTCCATTGTTGCCACCACGCCCAGGGGGTGCCACATACCCCCATCACTACCAATGGATGTCCTCACAGCCCGTCCCCCCCCTTGAAGCGTGAAGCTCCCCGCTGACCATGGAGGATGGTATTTGACGAGCTGGTCGGCATGGGCCTCGCCACAAGCTCTCCCAGTCTGTGGGTGGACGAGCTTGAAAGTGTTTGCACCAATACGTCTGCAGATGCGGAATGGACCATTTCGCCTTGGTGCCAGGTACGATGAGATGCCTCTTGCAGCGTCACTGACTATGTGGGTTTCTCGCAGGACCAGGTCGCCTTCCTCCAATGTCGTGGCTCGGCGTCGCTGGTCGTAGTGCTGCTTCTGGGCACGCCAAGCATGTTGCTGATGCTGCCGTGCAGCATTCATGACCTCTGCCAAATGGGACTGAAGTTCTGCTGAGAATGCGTGAGAAGATGATACCGCAGGCTCAGCGTCTTGCTTGTTTTCGGTGGGTTGCCACAGTGTTCGGAGTTCACGGCCATAGCAGAGGAGGGCTGGGGTGTATCCAGTAGCAGCACTTACAGCGGTTCGCATTGCAAAAGCAATCTCGGGAATGTGTTGGTCCCAGTTTTTGTGCTCATTGCAGTATGCACGACTGCACTGCTTCACGGTGCCATTGTGCCGCTCGACCATCTGTCCGGCTGGCCTGTAACGCACCGTGTGGCGCTCCGAGATGCTCCATCGCCTAAGCAGGTTCTTCCATAATTTACTAACAAAGGGCTTCCCATTATCGCTAGAAATAGCAGTAGGTACCCCGTGTCTGCAGATGAACTCTTCCACACGGCTGGCTATCTACTGTGTTGTTGCTGCATGAAGAGGGAAGAGCTCAATGAATTTGGTAAATTTGTCAACTATGACCAGCAAGTGCTTGTGCCCCCGACGGCTGGTAGGTAACGGCCCCATTAAGTCGATACTAAGTTCTTCCATTGGTGCTGCAGGCCATTGGCTTGCCATAAATCCTTGGGGTTTGCAACGCTGTGCTTTCGTCCTTTGACAGACTGAGCAACTGCGGACATACTTCGATGTGTCATTGCTTATGCCCAACCACACAAACTTGTCTCTGATGCACCGCAGTGTCTTGTAGAATCCTGCATGGGCACTTGTCGGGTGGTCATGGGCCATCTGCAGGACCAAGGGGCGAAGGTGAGTAGGCAACCAGGCTACTGTACGGTCGCCGCGACATTGCACCAAAAGTCCTGATGGCTCTAGATGAGGCGTGGATGCCAGGTCCTCCAGACGACGGGTTTCAGCAGTGCCTTTGTGCAGGCCTCTTCCTGGATAGTTCTCGTTATGTCACACAAAAGAGCATCGCGTTGTTGTTCCTGTGCTAGTTTTTTCGCACAATTTATAACACTAAGGTCCTCAATGGTGGCTGGCCGGCAGGTTTCAAATGTGACAGAGCCTTCGTCAGCGTCCAAGTTAATTGGCAAAAGTCTCTCAGGCAGGCTTTCAGCTGCTGTCTTGGAGTTTGGCTGAACAGGTGCCCGGCTTAGGGCATCAGCAGGAATGTTGGCCTTACCACGACGGTGCTTAATGTTGCACTGAAACCCTTGAAGGCGTAGCACCCAGTGCCGCCTACGAGGAGATGCCTGCTCAGTGGTGAACATCCAAGCCAATGATGCATGATCACAGTGCACTTCGAATTCTGTGAATTCCAATTAAGATCGGAATTTCTCTACAGCCCATACGACGGCCAAACACTCCCACTCCTGGACTGTGTAATTATGCTCTGCATTCGACAAGCCTCTGCTGATGAATGAAATTGGCTTCAAAATGTTATCCCCACGTTGCAGCAGCACTGCGGCGATACCAACACCACTGGCATCTGTTTCAACTACAAATGGTGCATTGAGGTCTGGCAAGCTCAGAACTGCATCTGTTGCCAGCCTTGCTCGGAGAGTCGCAAATGACTGTTCTTCAATGCTTGTCCGCTGCCATTTCTGTTGCGTCTTGAGCAAGTTGGTGAAGGGCTTAGCAGTGAGGGAAAATTGTGGAATAAAGTTCTTGTAATATCCAGCTAAGCCCAGAAATGCCTGCAGTTGCTTCATGTTGGATGGCCGTGGGTACTCTGCCACTGCACGCACCTTCTCTGGGTCTGGTCGGCACTCTCCTGGAGATACAACGTGACCAAGGAAGGTGTGGGATTGAGTGCATTGTTGTACTTTGGTTGGATTAATTGTAAGCCCTGCATTCT